ATGTGTTATATCATTTGTATTTTTTATTCATTAAAATAATAGGTTCTCCTCATACAAAATCTGCACAATTCATAAATCGTAAACATGTTGATCAACCATCTAGCAGTAGCAGTGTTCCTACGACTTCTGCAGCCATACAACAACCACGCAATAGAGAATTCTATAGTCAAGGTGTGTATAAATTATTAAAAATAATAGATGCTAACAATAATATACTAATATCTAATTTTGCAAATTTTTTATATAATACTAAATAATAATATCCTATTTGTAATTAATATATACTTTTAATAAAACCATACTTTTAAAATGTTTTATATTATTTGTATTTTATAGATAGAATATATAATTCAAAATCAATGAAGGTTCAAACACCAACTCATCAAGTTAAAAGAAAACTCTTTGATGTTGATAGTTTTTCTGATGAAGGTAAATAATAAGAGAAAATGAATACAAAGTTATTAAAACATTTTTAGAATTTAAATTTATTTTTGATACTATCCGAATTACATATGAAATAATTGTTTTAGATATTATATTTTATAATATTTATTAATAAGATTTTTGATTTAGATGATCTAGGGACAATCAACACATCAGCTTCCCCTTTTAAAATCACTCGAATGTCATCTTCTATTGGTTCTCCAAAAATTAGTTTTGGTAAATTGTATTTCATATATTATACCATTAATAACTGTATGTTTAAAGTGTTAATTTTTGATATAATTATTGTAGATGAGCTATTTGATTTACCGTTGCCTGAATCAACTTTGAACAACAAAACACAAAATTGTAGTTTCAAATGTGAAGATATTTTAGGTAAGTTTTATTTTCAAAACTGTAGTGTATTATAAATTATAATATAACATAGTTTGAAATACTAATCTCAAAAATTGTTGGAACCGTAAAAAGATATTAAATAATTTTCCTTGGTCAGATCATCTGTTGGACCGACCTGCGTATTATTATATACTTAAATACATTATTAATATTTGCTTTTAATTTTTTTTTTAGAGATTGTAAAAAAAACTTTAAGAGTAGTACTAAAAACAAAGTATGATGTAGAAACAATAAGTCAAAAACAAGACCAGCTAGAAACAGTTGTCAAAAATTCAAGTTTTCATGAAAAAATAAATTCACAAAATGATTACAACAGTCAACAAGAAGTTTCTTTTGAAATGCTTCCAATTACAAACGAAGATGACCTTGCTGCATTTGAAGAAAAATTATCTAGCGATAAAACTTTTAAGTCAAACTTAGTATGTTTTATCAATATAATTTGAAGAATTATAACATGTAATATTGTAATATTCTGGTAGCTCTAACAGCTACTAGTATACTAACAGTTGCAGGCAGCTAGACCTTATACTGTGAAGTTGAGGTAGTCGTTGAATAATTATAACACAATTGCCAAAAGTATATTGCTGTTTATTAGTTCCAACAATCACAATGATGCTAAGTCCAAAATGACAATCGTTACACGGAGCTGCGTGAAGGTGCTTGCAGTAGTATTGAGTGTACACGTCTGAATACAGACCGTTTCGGGGTCCCTCTTATAGTTCGGTCCCCGCTCCCCTTGCCTATTGATATCGTATCTTGACTCTAACGGATGTGGCCTATGCGGCCATCGACCTAACCCACGCACTTGCGAAATTACTAATCCATACTGCGTATTATTATGATGTACTGTCAGATAATTTGTGACTGTCAATTTTATTATAAATCATACTATTTTAGATTCTGAGCGGAGCGATGAATGTATTGGTTTTACAATGATGTATGTTTTTTTTTATATTTTTATATTTTTATATTTTTGTGTCTGTCATCACGTTTTGGGACAGTAAAAGTGCTTCGATTTTCTTCAATAGTACCTTTTCTGATAGGAAAGTGAATCTAGTTGGTACTTTGGGGGGTCAAAAGTAAACATTTTCCAGTAGTTTTCACAAGCGCCGGGAAAAAACAACATAAAAATTAAGGAAAAACGGGAATTTTTACGCAAAATCGATTTTCCAAAAAATCGAATTTGGTTTTTGGTGTAACTTTAAAACAAATGACCGTAGATACATGAAATTTTCACTGGTTGTTTATATTTGCATTTTCTATACACGATAACATTTTCAAAATATTTTGATTTATTTTGAACTGTTTAGGGACATTTTCATTTTTCATTTTTTTTTAGTTTTTTTTCTAGAAATATCAATAAAATTTTATTTGTTGGTTGCGAAAGCTTGAAAATTTAATAGAAGGCTCCTAATATGTTGTTTCAAAGGCAGATGAAAAATATTAAAAATCCTTAGTCACAATTTTTTTTTATAAGCATTTAAAATTCAAAAATTGACAAAATATGGAAAAATCACGAAAATTAGCAAATTATTTTGAGTTAAGAATTCGTAAAAATTTTTCTTTTTAAATCTAAGATTTGAAAATGAAACACAAGATTCCTTATAAGATTATCTACCTTTATCAATAAAAAAATCTCTACCGGACAGTCAAATTAAATTTTTATGAGCGTTTGAAATTCAAATTTTTACAACATTGGATTTTCACTCGATTTCTCATGTAGCGATTTCCTTATTTTGTTGTAATTCAAAAACGAATAACTGTAGATACATGAAAATTTCACTGAATGTTTATATTAGCATTTCCTATACACCATACAATTTTGAAAAGATTTTGACTCTTTTTGAGCTGTTTACGGACATTTTCAGTTTTCAATTTTTTTAGTTTTTTTTTTTATAATTGTCAATAAAATTTTATTTGGTGGGCCAAAAAGTCTGAAAATTTAATACAAGGCTCCTGGTATATTGTTACAATAGCAGTTGAAAAATATTAAAAATACATAGGCACAGTTTTTTTTTATAACCATTTAAAGATCAAATTTTGACAAAATTTATCAAAATCTCGAAAATTATCAAACATTGTAATTAATAAATTATAAAATGTTCAGTTTTTATAACTAAGAGTTGAAAATTTAAAACAAAGATTCTCTTAAATAATTCATACTGTAACCAAAAAATCTAAGCAATATATGAACACAGTTATTTTTTACAGACATTTTAAATTCAAATTTGGACGAAATTACATATTAAAATCAATATTAACGATCTTGGTTTTTGTTGTAATTTAAAAATATTATTCGGGGATATATGAAACTGAAAAATCAACACATTATGGCCTATCCATACAATCTACCATAGTATAAGGAATAAGAAGTATGCTCAATGATAAGACTGTGCATATTTTAAGGGGCAATGAATAATTTATTCATAAATTCCATATAATTTAATACCATAAATAAGTATATAATATGTCTTATACCTAGACTGACATACCGCCTCCGCTCAGAATCGTTTTTCTTATACAATGATATTATATCATTGAATTCAAATTTAATACCATCCATCATACAGTGACCCACTTGTAACCTACAGTACAGCAGAGCGACATCCACTTACCCACCTTTTTTTATATTGCAATTCTCTCATCTAACGCTATCGCATTTATCACATCCGCCTATTCGACATGACTGCAAAATCATGCTAATCTACTGTGGTACTATTTGAATATTGTTTCTCCTTGAGCCTTACATTTATTAATTGCGAATTTGTTTATGCGTTTGTTTTTGGCGTTATACTCCCTATGGTTCCTTTGATTAATTACAACCAAAAAAGGTTAACTATAGTTTCTATTTTGATATATCTGACCATTACCTATTTACAGTATAATATATTAAATATGTTTCCTGACGAAATTTAAATGTTGCGTAGTAACTCGCTTACTACATCTCCCCCTTTAAAAGTTCATTTTTATCGTCTTAAACGAGAAAAATTAACTCAATTTAATTTCTATTACTTCATTATGTCGTTTTTCTTCGTTATTACCATTAATTTGCTTTTCATTACTATTTTGTTTTTGTACATTTCCCTGCAACTTTTCCATGTCTAATTTAGAATTAAATTCAAGATCTTCATCTATCGCTAGTTTAAAACATTGTTCTAAAGTTTCTGGATTCCTACTTTTTAGTACTGTGTACAGATGATGTGGTAATCCTGTCATAAATATAATCATAGCCTGCTTTTTTGTCTGGGTCTTAACTACAAGTGCTTCGGCCGCTTTTAATCCAAATGTACTAGCCGCGCATAGTTTGTAATATAACTCTTCGATTCTACTAGCGAATTTTGCTACACTTTCTCCTTCGGTCATACGTGCCGTGTTTAAAGCTACTGCTAGGGCCCTCTCCGATACTTTCTGTTCGAATGCCCCCTCTAATATTGATTTTATTGATGCCCATGAGTCTAAATTTCTATATTTTGTTACCTCTAACGCGTTCCCTGTCAACTTTGACGTAATTATTTTTAATAATAAGGGTCTATCCGCGTCAGCAATATCTTTAAGCGCGATCTCGCAAATATTTATAAATTCTGCTACGTCTTTCTTTCCTGTGCAAACTGGTATCATTGGTATTGCTTTATCAATATCCATTTTATTTTTCGTGTTTTTCCTAACTTCTGATCCTAATTGCACGTGAACTACGCTTGAGTCTGACCTAGTACCTGAACGACCTACGCCTTGTTTAATTTCTCGTGGCGTGGTACCTATCTGTTCTGTTAAACTAAGTGTTCTTACTAAATTTTTCCTAACAGCTTTATCGGCGTTAGCTATTTGTTTGCCTGTTTTTTCTATAAATTCTTTCTTTATAGCGTCTTTTAAAATTTCCGCTTTTATTTCTTTCCTATTTTTATATTTTTTAACTTTCACTGAACTGTCCGTAGAACTAGTTTCAATATCTGAACTATCCGATTCTGTATTCATATATACCTAATGTTCACTAACATTATTAAAATCTAATAATTTTCATTTAAATTACTACAAAAAAAAATAAAATAATATATTTATTTTGTTAAATGTGTGTATTTATTCCGTATACACGTATCGTACGTACGTATTTATTCTATTCGTATTTATTCATGCGCGCCGCGTGTTAATATACTGTGTACCTACTAAGGGTCTAGGACACCTCGCCGCGACCGTTTCGCCGCGACCGTCTCACCGCGACCGTTTCGCCGCCAAGCGTTCTCGCCGCTACCCGACTCGCCGCCGAGCCTTCTCGCCGCCACCCGACTCGCCGCCAAGCCTTCTCGCCGCCACCCGACTCGCCGCCACCATTTCGCCGACGGACATCTCGCCGCCACCGTCTCGCCGCCGGGCAATCTCGCCACCACCGTTTCGCCGATGGTCATATTCTCGCCGCCACCGTTTCACCGATGGGAATTTAAAATGTCACCTATTATGTCTTCAACCCAGTGGTGGGCTAGGGGGGCTACGATTTAGCCCCCCCTCCAAAAAAAATACCACTTATTGATTTAGATATAAGCCCTCTATGGCCTATAGGTTCCCTATTTACAAATAATTGTTTTTTAAGCCCCCCCTAAATGTTTACCGTTGTTGCACCTATGTTTCAACCCCCTTTGAGACCATTATTTGTATACGTAATTTAAATATGAAATAATTAGCAAAGTGTAAAAAAATTAGGTCAGTTTAGATAGTCAAGTTCAATTTTTTTTACGAAATTACATATTAAATAATCAAGAAAAGTTTTTAGTAATTTTAAAATATTATTCGTGGGTACTTGAAGCATCTAAAGTAGGTATATTATTAATTATTATATACAAATATGATAATATTAATTCAATTTACCAGCCACCGTATTAATAATAACAATATAAATATAATATAAAATATCCTAGGATGACGAACCGTCTCTGTTCAGAATCGTTGAGAAAACCAGTGTCTGTGTACACTGTGTTTTTCAATAATATTGACCTTTCTGTTAATCTGTTAATTGCTATATGTAAATTTACGTAGCATAATTATATTATATGCCTCAATGACTGTATTCATACAATAGTATTTATGAATTCATCATATCTATATAATTATTTATAAAATAAATAAGATTAGGTAGTTCAATAACTAATAAAATGTAAATATATAAAATAAATAATTCACTTTATTAGTTAGTTAATAGTTAATACAATTAGTGTCAACTAGGTACCTACTGCATACTTAAAAAAGTAAAAAACATTATGTAACTAATCTATATATATAAGAATCTAACTTGATTTTGGAGACGAAGGAAACCGGTTTTGAACCCTTATAAAAATAATAATAATAATTAACTAATTACCAATTATTTTCATATATTCACCGATAACGATGTCTGTTTCTTTTTTTTGTTTATTTTATATAATATTTTTTCAACTTAATCAAAAACATGTATAAATACATTATAATAATACAAAAAGAATGTAATTTTTTTTAAAGGTTGATATGTATGCCAAAATAGAATCAGAACGGCTAATCAAAATTAAGAGCGGAAGATTATATTAATTTACTTGATAGAAAATGATGGTCACGTGAATGACATTGGACAACTTTTTATTTTACCTTCTTCATTTACAGGAGGTCCAAGGTAATAAAATATTTTGTATCTTATAACTTAAAATTGCTACGGAAAATGTACTGTAATATTCATTTTAACAATCTAAAATATTGTACATACTATTAATTATTAGATACATGCACAAAAAAACTATGGATGCCATGACTTACGTTCGTAATTTTGGGACTCCAAATTTGTTCATTACATTTACATGTAATCCAAATTGGATGGAAATAAAAAGAGAACTCAAACATGGTCAAACTATACACAAGACAGACACGACATTATCACTAGAGTTTTTCATCAAAAAATTTAAGTTCTAATGAACTTAATTGTGAAACATCGGATATTTGGTGAAACTCGGTGTTATATATATACTGTTGAGTGGCAAAAACGTGGTAATAAATGAATAGTATTATTTATTTATTTATTTTTCTACGTATAATTATTCATTATTTATGGCCTTCCTCGTGTTCATTTACTGGTTTGGTTAGTTGATAAAATTAGACCAAATGATGTCGATGATATAATAAGGGCTGGATTACCAAACCCCGAATTAGATCCTTAACTATTTGAAATAGTTAAAAAACACATGGTACATGGCCCATGTGGTTATATGAATCCAAATTCTCCATGTACCTATGGGAGAAAACCAAAAATGTTCAAAGAGGTAATAATACATTTTAATATTCAATATACATATTTAAATCTATTTCATATTAATATAACTATTATAAATTTATATAAATATTTTGAATTATAATTTTTATTTTTTAATATTAAGTTTATTTATAAAATTTCATCATTTGTACTTATATTTTGTATTTGTTTAAGAGTAGGTATTTAGTTATTTTTTAGTGCAAAAGCGCATACGTAGTTTAAACTTTAAAATTCCTCATATAACTATACTATGTAATTTTTTTAATTATTGTCTTTTTTAATTTTTTTTAAATAATAACGATGGTAAAGTTAAATTTTATTGATAGGACTTTCTTTGTAAGTTATGGGTAAAAACTTAATTTTCAAGTTATAAGGTAGATATATTCAAGTGCCATATGTAGTTACCTACTTAACCCTTAACTTGTCAAGCATTAAAATATTAGAATGAAAATTTTAAAGTAGATATTTTCACACTAATTTAAGGTCGCTGAATTCAAAAATGTTGTCAAAAAAAATATTGGACTTGAAAGTTCAAAGTTATGAATTGTATCTTAAAAGATACATAGCCATAAACCAATACTAATATTCATGTATCTAAAAGGATACATACTTTCAAAATTGATATAAAAGAAGCATTATTGCATATATTATTAGAAACTTTACATAAAAGTGATTAATTGAGTTGATTCTAGTAACACATTAAAATTTGATGAAATTAGTAGTTGAAGTCAACGAGTTTGATCGGCTTTAAATTTCCAAAAAAATGATAACAAAAAACAGTTATTACTTATTATCAATCCCAATCATCATAGAAACGTTATCGTAGTGTACTCACGTGGGAGATATGACATTTATCAAAGTGTACAAGGCTATATTATTTTTTATGTATTGTATTTTAATTATAATTAATGCATTATGTAATCTATTTTCTGATAATACACTTACACATAAGCAAGGCTTATGTTTACTGCATAAAAGACTGCTTCAAAAGTCATCAGAGTTAATTGATATTTTTAATTATACTATTACTATTTTATGTATAATTAATTATTATTATTTATAATAAATATTTGATGACTTCCTATAACAAAAATTCAAAATTAGCATATAGAAAATTATACTTAGTTTGTGGGGGGGTGGAAGTGGGGGGGTTATTACAAAGTTAATTTGCTTAGGGTTTGAAAGATGCTCGCCACGCCACTGTGTACAAATAATAAAAATAAAAATATTGTACATCGGATTCCGTACAAAAATTCACAAACTTTGTGTATCCAAAAAGATACAACACCAAGTTAAGGGTTAAGGTGGTTTTGCGTAACAAATCGTAATTAGTTTAAGAATAACATTATTTTGCATTTTTATTCTATACATATGCTAAGAAAAGCATATTTAATAAAAAAAAATTCATTTGTTTTATTAGGTATCCGAAAGCATTTACTAACAGTACTATTATTGAAGATGATGAATATCCTTTATACAGACGAAGGGATTTTGGAAGTGGTGGATTTAAATCAACTGTACGAAATTCAACTGACTAAATGGCAACCAGTCAGCTTAGATTAAAATTATTGAATTTTTCAACAATCTTACTAAAATTTTATGAATTTAAATATGAATATGAAAAATTCAATAATTTTAATCGAAACCTTGACTGGTTGCCATTTAGTCAGTTTTGATTTTAGAGCTATGGTGAAAAGGACCAAATCGACTTAAAAAAATTCGTTCTATCCAAATTCGGTTTTCAAAATACCTTTTGCCATTAAAAAAAAAATGCAAGTTGTATTGCGCATGCGCACACGGAAAGATCTAAAAATGTAAAAATCATCAAGAAATGTGTATTTATGTATTCCCTATCCCCTCCCGAAAACCGCATATTAATCCGATGTCACTGGACAGAATTATTTAGTGTTACCTTTAAAAGGAATCACACTGTATTTATTATTGTTATCATGATTACTAATTATTTATTTATTTGCTTGCACTTGCAATTTTCCATTTGAAATATATATATTATACATTGAACAAATAATTCATTGTTACATTTTTTTCTACCTTATCTCTATTCTATAATAAAAATAATAAAATTTACCACTCCAGTGGTTGAATTCTAAATGTAGGAAATATAATTTTCAGAAATTAGCAATAACAATAACTACAATATGTAATTATATGGTACTATTTGTATAGCCAAAAAATAGTCTTATGTTTTTAAATTAAATTATAAAAAAATAATTTCTTCCGGAGGAAGATCGGGCAGCTAGTTATTAATAAACTTTAAAATAAAAACTGTAAATTCCTTTTATTTTTGGAAAATTCGTCCACAACATTTTGAATAAAGGTCAGGTGGGGTAACAGTGACGTGGTTTTGCAAAATCTCAGTTTAATGGAACATACTTACCATCTTACTGTATTCTTACGTGGAACATAGTTTTTTATCATCCATTAATGAACGTATCAGGAATTCAAATATGTATTCAAAAATGTGTTTTGATAATTTTTTAGTTAAAAAAAAATTACATATAAAAAAAAAAAAAAGTGTACCACTTTCCCTGCTACCAGGGTAAGTGCAAAACCGGTACTTTTAATGCAGTTGTATACAAGCTGTTCCTTGGCCAGGACAAGTGCCATTATATAAGCTAGGTAATGAAAATCTTTAAAGAAATTAAAGAAGAAAAAGAATTCAATTATTTGATTTTATCAAGATTTGACAGACTATTAGTTTTTTTTTAAATTTATAGTTAATACATATCAGTTTTTTTTAAGTTTTGGTTGATATAATTTAACATTAACACATATTCAAAGTTTAATTGTCAACTATTTACATATTTAATAATGAATATTTGTAACTCATAAATATTTTAGTCACAAACAATGTTTATAAAATCTTTTTTAACTATTTAACAAAATAAGGCATGTCGCACTTTCCCCATAAAACATGTCGAACATTCCCCGTGTGGAACTTTACACGGGGGAAGTGCATAATTGGCTAATACTCATTTGTATCATACAAATATACAATTAGCATAATTCATAAATTAAATAATATTATAAATATAAAATAACATTTATTTACCTAATTTGAAATTATTTTGAGCAATTTAGGTGGGTTAACTAGACCGTTGAATTATCGTCGATTTAAAAAAAATACCAGTAAATAACTGATTAGCTTTTTGAATATTGAATAATGATAACTGCTATGTTTGATATCCTAAGACCTAAAGTGTAACCAACATTATACAACATTCAAATACTATTAAACTTCGTAATCTTCAAGAAATTAACTTTAAAATTGAAAGATTGTATTTTTTATAACCCGTCAACCCGATTAGGCACTAGCCCCGTTAGGCTCTTACCCCACCTGACCTACCTTACATTTAAATCATCAATTTTCTGTCTATGTATACTCGTATACTAAGTAATAAGTATACTAAGTATACATAGTCCAGATAGTTTCTGCTCTGTCATTGTACTTTGTAGACCTTAACCATGTTTTTACACGGCGAAGCGTACTAAATGACCTGTCAATCGTACATGACGTGTAGGAGGTATATGGTCATGTAAACGATGATACATTATTTAATTGATGGTAAAAAGTTACAGTCTTTGAAAGTATGACATATTATATTCTTCACTAATTTTATGATGATCAATTTTCTTTATTCAATGTATCAAGTATAATATAATTATGTTTAAATAATTAAATATTAAATTTATAATAGACATGCAAAATCTAGAGGGGGGCATGTCCCCCCCTTGCCCTCCCCAAAGGACGCCCTTGTAACTAATATAATATGTTACCAATGAGTAATGACCGTCACATTTATATACAAAAATAAATACTAATGTTGGTATTATAATTTGAACCAATGGCAACTATTTATAAATAAAAGAGAAATCGAAAATGATCATCACGAATCTTCAAATCATTGTGTAAGCACATTTTTAAGACACGAATTTTGGAAAATCTTTTCTTAGTGTCTAGTGGGTCTTATCTGCATCATAAAACGAAACTACTGACCAAATTGCATACCTACTCATAACTCATAAGTCATAAGTCAAGGGTAGTTTGGGTGGTTCCAGCTAGGCGATGATGAAACTGTTAGTCAGTCATTCAGTCATGACAAGTTTTTATATACCTATATTTGTATATATAGATAGAGATATGATAATATAATGTTTAAATGTAGGTACTAGGTATACTATATATCTATTATACAGTATCTACATACAGGGACGTTGGACGTATTTACAATAAATTCACCCTAGGGCTAACCAGGACTATAGGTATGTAGCCACTAGCCCTGTATGTACAATTATCGACCGTCAATCATAGATAATTATTATCGTATTTGTTGTGTATGTACAAACGATGATTACGAGTCGCTGATCAGACTGACGTGTGTATGTATTTTATGTGTATAATTTTAATTTTTTATGTTATATTCATTTAAATGTGTTAATTAAAATAAATTATGGAAGAAAACGTTGAAGTGGTGTTCTACTTGTATAAAAATTAGAAAAAGAACAAAACATTATTTCAAAAACCGCAAAATTTACTCTTTTTTTTGATAATCCACGTCCATCAAACTCCAATTTTCCAAGTGAAACAGAGTACAAATATGATCCGTTTTCAAATGAGCCGAGTAATAACTACCTACCTATACAACAACTTCCACGTATACAGTGTTGGAACTTGGAAATCACTAATCAGTAATCAGTATGTATTGTCAAAGGAAAATAATATAATAATTTAAGTAATCTATTCCCTTACGTAGGAAATACGTAGTTTCAAGAGTTTTTTATGTTTTGCAGCTTCAAACTGTTCAGCTGAAAGGTCCTTTTTAACATTAAACAGGATTACAATTATTGCGATCACGATCAACAGAAACTCATTTAAATAGTTTTGTTATTTTCAATATTTAAAATGAAATTTGCAGAAAAATTAATTATGAGGATTTAATTATATTGCATATTTTGCTTGTAGAAAATCCCGTCGTCAAAAATTAATAAGGTACTTAGGTACCTGTGTTTTAAAAGTAAAAACAAGTTTGTTTAAGTAAATGCTAAACAGGTATTTGTTTTAATTTTTATTTATTTAAGGAGTTATAAGCAGGACGAGTTGTGATCACAGTTGCTACATTTTACAATTTTACTATAATATACTTAATATACTATAATATTATACTTAACCTACATTTAAAACAAGCACATAAATACATAATTTGAATTAAAATGCACTGTTACACAATAACCTATAACATATTGATTCAACTTGAACAGTATCACGTAAATATACAGTAGGTCCCAGAAGTCCCGTATCACCCTTAGTATCTCCATGGAAAATCAATATATTTAAATGCTGTTTTTTTTACAGTATTAACTATGGAATTTTTAATTGAATATATTTTTTTTTCAAAAATTCAAAAATTATCAAAAACTTTTTTTAGGCAAATAAGTTTTTTAAATTTCCAAGATAGCATTTGGTTGATCAGATTTTTTAAAACAGTTCAAAAAAAAAATATTCGAATGTAATGAAAATTGCCCAAGTTAGAGGCAATTATTATTTTGAATTTCTATGAATAATAGTTGTGTTATCTACGCATACGGCATTAGCAAAATACAATAAAATTCGTATATTAATTATTACAATCACGCTGATTTTTCGGCTAAAATTAAAAATAATAATTAGCTCTAACTTGGTCGGTTTTCATTAAATTTTAATATTTTTTTTTTTTTTGAACTGTTTTAAAAAATACTAACAACAAAAATTTAAAAAACATTTTTTGAATTTTTGAAAAAAGAAAAACCGAAAATTATGCTATTCAATCAGAATTTCCATACTTATGACTGTAAAAAAAAACTGCATTTAATAATATTGATTTTCCACGGAGATAATAAGGACTTCTGGGACACGCTGTATACAAGCAACTATATTGGTACTTGAAATCATTAGATCAATATCAATAAAATCTACTCATTTGTAAATTGTAATACCCAATAGTTAATGTGGAGATAATATTTAATTATTTAATAATCGATACCTAACTATCTGCGTGAAACTATCCAAGTTCTAAAGTTTTATCGTGAGGTCTGGCCTTCTGGGGTTTCTATTGTATTGTTAAGAGGACGCCACACGGGCAAAAATACCGTACAAAAAGATGCCAATTTTGTTCCAATAATACGGCTTACTGAATGGTTTTAGAGCAAAATACCTTTATTAAAAGTTGTAGATAAGAGTTATATCGGGTGCGTGACGAGACTCGATTTTTGATATTTTAATTTTTTATACCAATTATTCACATGTAAAAAAGTGAAAAAAAGTGAAAACGCAAAACGATTTTATCGATTTTGAGAACGAAATATCAAAAATCGAGTCTCGTCTCGCACCCGATATAACTCTCCTCTACAACTTTTAATAAAGGTATTTTGCTCTAAGACCATTTACTTAGCCGTATTATTGGAACAAAATTGGAATGTTTTTGTACGGTATTTTCGTTGGTTTAGCGTCCTCAATGTTATATTATTGTCATTGAATAATAAAAATAATAATATTTATTATAATCAACGGTATTATGGTAATACATTCGAAAATATTAGTGAGTATAAAAATTAAATACATAATTGGTATGTCTATATTGATATTTTTACAAACTAAATGTAAATCGTAAGTTATTGTACGTAAAATATTGTTAACTCGAATACCTAAAAGTACCTCGAGTACTTAAAATGTTTGTACAACAATTTGTACGGTAAAAACTAGATTTTCTAGCCAACATAATATTGTTATATACAAATAGGTATACAATTGGGCTGACAGCGGCTTTAATTAAAAGATGGTTAGTGTACACTCATAATTTTTACGTTCAAAATATAAAAACACTTTATTCTCGTGATTACTGCTTTGACGAAAATATACAATTTTTCATAATACAATAGTCAATAAACAATATTCACCACTAAAAATATTTTATTTTTAAAAAAATTCGGGGGCCCTCGACCCCCTCAGTTACGGCACATACTTTGGCTTTACAAGTCATTTTATCCAGTATCTAGATTAACAAATGTTAGAGCCTCCCCCGAATTTATAATATATATTTATATATTTTAATTTACGGTCTTGTACCTATGCTGAATTTTAATGGGTCGTACCCAGTATGAAATAAATAGTAAAAAAATACAATTAATATTCATACAAACTACAAAGTGTGTAGTGTGTACCTAGTACCTACTACCTACATTGATAAATTAGGATGAAAGGCATACAAAAAGTAATGCCACTTGGAAAAATTAAGTAAGCTACGAAGATTTTTATAACATTTTTTATTTGAAATAGCCACTGAAGACGAAATTAATTTTACAGAAATACATATTAATATGTATATTATAATTTTAATTTTCTATTTTCTTATTTGTATGTAATAATATAAAAATGAATATTTATATTTACATATTGTAATAAGTATGTTAAGATTGTTTATTTTTAAAGACTTCAGTGGACTTAAATATACAAACAAAAATATTATATATTTATATATATAACTCGAATCAATTTGGAAACAGGATTTTCTCTGACGACTATTGGCGCGGCGGTTTGATCAAAGGATAATCGTACCATAAAGGCATGGACAAAGATAATAATAGATCATACGATACAAATATTGTTATAAATAGATATTAGTGAATATTAGTACTATATACTAACCTAACCTTTTTTTCCCCGAGACTTCGAATAATTCATTTGAATTTTCATGGTGAACGTGATCGTACCTTGTCTATTTCATTGTTTTCTATATTTTTCTCGCATTCCTTACGTTATTGTATTTACTATTTTCAATTTATTAAAACATGGATGTAGATACTATAAGATCGAAGGCGGTTGAATGCCACGAAGGATTTCAGTATATTTTTGATAAAATGGGTGCTGATCAAGTAACACAATATTTTAGATGTCGCAGGAGGGACATAAGTTGCAAGGGTCGTCTCCATATTAAAGATGGAGTGAAATTTGTTATAGGCAACCATGGCGGTCATGAAGAATCTCCTGTGGATATTGAGGTAAGTGGTAATATAATATTAATAATAAATCATGAGTAGGTACTAGGTACTCAAATCAAAAATTTAAGTTTGGACTTGTAGTTTCTGACACCTTCAATAATGTCCATTTTTACCAAAAAAAGAAAATTCATTTCCATTTTCATAAACAATTTATTTAACCAACATTACCTGTACCTATATATTTTTCTCCAAATATTTAAACAGATTTAAACTAAAATGATGACTAGGTACCTACTGATCAATCATATTAGAGAATAGAGAAGCAATTGACAATGTACTTTGTAAATGGACAAATAAAACAATTTTTTGTTGTATTCAGAATATTTGATTTTTAAATATAATATGAGAATTATGTGTCAGATCAGTACACCTATAATATTAGTATACTTATTACTAGTTATTAGTAATAAGTAATATTTATTTCCAGTGTTGGGCAAATTACTTTTAAAAAGTAATGAAATTACGTTACTCGTTTACTTCAAATATTTTATTTAAATTACATTTGAGTTACCTAATATTATTTTTATCACTTTACGTTACTTTTTCATTAATAAAGTAGTGCGGTACAAATAACGTTACCTTTTTTTATAATTTTTTATAACCATATTCAATTCATATGATTAAATTATATTTTTAAACCAAACTCTTTTCTTTCTGCTAATAAAGTGATAACATTTATTCCTGGAATGTTTAATAATATTGTTAACTATTATCCAAATCGTAAATAAATATAATTTATTTTTAATTTTTCTGGATTATCATCCTCCTATCGGCTTGTTTTTATAATACATTCAAAACTATTGTGGAAAATAACTCATTAATTCATTACTTCATAGAAATTACTTTTAAAAAGTAATTTTGTTACAATCGCGTTACTTAAAGTAAAATAATGAAATGAAGTTACTGAAAAGGTAATTGCGTTACAGTAATTTGTGTTACGTTACTACCCAACACTGTTTATTTCCTATTAACAGGTTGTTTTTTTACCCAAATGTCATAGTGATGTTAATAATTGATCATAGGTATAAATGGTATAATATATTAATTAATGGTAGTATGGTACATAAGCATAAAATTATTATTTGTTTAAAAATATTAGATTGCTTCCACCATCAGTAGAATCAAAAGAAGAGCTGCAGATACTATGGAAGCACCGGCTGTAGCGATCAACCAGTGTATAGGTAAAATATAACAAACTTTTATGACTTTTATTAAAACATAATAAACTATCTATACAGTTACAAATGTATAGTATAATATACAAACTATTCACTATTGTATTATTTCTACTTGATAATTAGGTAAGTACCTAATAAATAATAATAAATACATTTATTAATCTAGGTAATTCAAAATAAATTATATACCTATACAATATTTATAATAAATTAATTTGTTTAGCGGGATTAACAATTGCTGGCAAAGGAGCTTTATCATCCATTGATACACTAAAAAAAACTGTAAGAAGAGTTAGACGAAACAACGGACCACACATTCCAATTGCACCTTTGAACTTATTTGATTTGGAAATTCCAAACAGTTTCAAGGAATATGAAGTTGAGCCTGGTGTGTTTGAAAATTTTCTATTATGTGATACAGGAGCTGGAAATAATAGAATTCTTCTATTTGGTCGACAGAGGGGTTTAGAAGTATGTTTTTAAAAATTAAAAATTAAAATAATTTTAAATAATTTTGATGGTATTTTTATTTAGATACTTTCGTTATCTCATCAGTGGTTTGTTGATGGAACGTTTAAAATAGCTCCATCTCTATTTTCTCAAGTATTCGTGATTTTAGGATGTCACAATGGAGGTGTTCATCCTTGTATTTATGCATTATTGCCTAACAAGAATCAAGCAACTTATACCCAGATGCTTGTAGAGATAAAAAATTTATCACCTGGTATAATTGCAGGAAGCATATCGGTGGACTATGAGTTGGCTATTCACAACGCTTTTAGGGCTGAATTTCCCAATAGAGAATTCGTGGCTGTTTTTTCACCTCCTTCAAAATTTAAAAAACAGATTGGAGCTGCAGGATTGATGGCGTAAGCTAAAACATATAGTGTACATAGTACCAACAATTTAATACAAATATATAGTTCACAGTTTAAATATAACTAAATATTAATCATGAAATTACTTAAGATAATTTTTTTTTCTAGGGATTATAGAAATAATGCAAATTTCAATTTATATGCTAGAATGATAACAGCATTAGCATTTGTCCCTCCTGATAATGTTGTTCAAAGCTTTGAAGATTTGAGTGAAGAACTTGAACGAGTAGAGCCAACTTTACAGCCTATTTTAGATTGGCTGGAAATAAATTACATAGGTATATTGAGACGAGAAGGCTTAAGAAGAGTACCAGCATTTCCAATTCCAACATGGAATTTATACAATAGAGTGTTAGCTGAACAAATGGTAATCTTTATTATATACATACAAAAAGACACTGTAGTGACAGTATTTGAAAAAAAATTATTTATATATTATATCATTTATAGATTCTTGCACATAGACACATTTAGTGTCATTTTTTTGGTTTTTAATACTGAACATAAAAAATTTTAAATTTGTTTTGAATCTTTTTATGAAAATTAATAATAGTAGATTTTCACACTAGATTAGATTTCTAGATTTCTAAAAAAATGTTGAATTAAAAAACTTGTCTACAATTAAAATAGTTTAGTTTTTACATTTTTTAAAAAATATATTTAAATGTTTGGGAATTTTCAGATGTATGTACATCTTAAATATTTTTTATCCTTATAATTTTCAAATGTTTTTATATGTTAAACAAGTATTATATTTGTCTGTCTGTTACACCCAGTGCTTGAATTGGAAAAATAAAAGAAAAGGAACTCACAGACTTTAAAAAAATTAGCGTTCCTTACAATGATTAAACTCTACCTAGACCATTGGGGGTGCCCCCCCACACATCCAACTATCAATCTTCAACAATAAGCAGTTGAAATATAATATACCAATACTAATATTTTAGTGTCCAACTATTACAATAAATATAATTTTACTTGTCAGGTATTAACAAAAAATGAATAGTTACCTACATAAAAGTATAGTCTAACATTTCTAACTTATTTGGTAATTAATCATAAATTGTAATAATGATAATTGATAAATAGATAAAAGACTTTTGACCACTATACTATACTATAATTTAGATATTATACTTATATCTTAGACCATGATTTTGACCACGTTACCAATTATCATAAAAAACATCATTAAATTGAATCTTAGTATCTTATTGAATACGTACTACTTTACAAAATAATAATTACAAAATTACAAAATTATTTTAATAAAAAGAAACGTTCCGTCCCCCAGTTATAAAGAAAATAATTAAAATGGGTGCTCTCAAAATATAAATAACTTTAAAAGGAGCTCCATCCCCCAATTAAAAAACTAGTAAGTTACACCCTATGTAGTATGTACCTATATAAATATATTATCCCAATAATTTCATTAAATATTTTATTTAGCTTATTGAAGTTATTTCTTTACCTATCTATATTTATTTCAAAAATATTAATTAATTAAAATTTTTACCATTTAACAGAAAACGAACAACATAGCCGAAGCTTCACATAGAAGGCTACAAGCTCAGCTAAGCATGAGTAACCCAACAATTTGGACCTTTATTATTGAGCTGAAAAAAGTACAGGCGGAACGAGATTTGTATTATGAATTTCTTGTCCGTGGAAATGAACCACCTCCATCCAAGAGAAAATATGTAGATGCAGGAAATCGGATATTACATCTAGTACAAGAATTTGATAATCGTCAAGTATTAGAATACCTAAGAGGACTTGCTCATAATTTTGTCATGGATCGTTAGTTTAATAAAATAAAAGTAATAACATCCACTAACCTTTTTTTACTTTTAAATTGACATTCCAACAATTTGCATTATTTTTATTTCATAACTTTAATTATAATCAATATAAGTATACCGTATACGTCTTAAAACTTTTTGAGTACCTTTAAGGCTATATGATACAGCCTTGTAGAATCAACCAAATTTCATAATTTTTTTTTTGATTGCTAGAGGAAAATATTCTGCAGCCCGCATCGATCTCTGTTTTTCAATATTTTATTCTCAAACTTTATAATATGTCTAAAAAAATACAAGATAAAAAGCATTTTTTTACACATTTTTTAATTTAACATTTATTTGAAATTATATACAAAATCAGAGATCGATGTGGGCTGTAGGAAGTCTTCTTCTTTCAGATAAAAAAAATGTCATCAAAATCCGACAATTCTACAAAGCTTGAGAGTTATTCCCGTAAAGTCATTTTTTTCGATATAATACACCCTATCAACCCCCCCTAAATAGGTATCGGGTAGTAGATTGGTGGAAAAGTCTTATAATTGAGGTGGCAACTAAAATATAAAATTTAATTTTCAAATTTTATAGAATTGTAGAAAATTTGACCTGGGACCCTTAATATAAATAATGAATTATGATTTGATTTATGGGTTATGTTTAATGTACCTATCTATTAAGTATTAACTATAAAATGTGAATGATTATAATATATTATATTATATCAGTTAGTTTGATAAAATAAATATAAATAGCTACTTAGGTATACCGTGGTTCATAAGTATTATGTTGGTAATGGGTTTATTATAATAATAAATAATTTATGATTATTATTATGCTAGGTATATATTATTTATATTTAATTAATCCTGGGCTTATTAGTAGAATTATATTGTTAATGAATAAATAAATAGTTTTATCAACTAAGTAATTTCAATTGTACATACTAAACAGATCTCTAATGAATTTATTTTGCATATACCGCATAATATGATCTACAGTTAATATGCAATAGTACATAGTGCAATAGTATATTATTTGACAATTTCATTCTCAATTCTGCAGTTGTATTTGATTTATTCAAATAAATTATATCTAGGTACTTAAATTATGTATGCCTACATAGATAAATACCTAATAGAAGTATAGGGATATTAGTAGGTATAATTAATAATTATTGCTGACAAATACACTAAACACACCAAATAAGTACAAATATGTGATTTAGGCTTGAATTATTGACTATGGGTAGAACCTACTTACATGAATCATAAAAATTACATAATATGTCGCTACTTTGAACGGTTTAAGTTAAGTTACAATTATTTATAAAAAAGAAATAACTTAGTTACTAACTAAGTTATTTTCTACATTCTATTTTTTTTTTAACTAGTTAAGTTAAAAGTTATCTTAAAAGTAAATTTTAACTTTTTAATTAGTTACTGCCCAGCTTTGATTTATTGTATATAATATTAGTTGATTACATTACATGGCTAAACGTCAATTATACCTCAGGTTGACAGGTTATGCTTGATGGCACTAACATGTTTATTTGTACTGTACAATGTACATTAGTATTTAGTAGGTACATCACTATATTATAATAATATGTACTTCCACAGAGCCTCTATTATAATATAATATATTAGGTACCTACATAAATAAGTATTAAGTTAATTATATAAGGCAGTTAGCTACTTAGTATTTATTATACCATTAATTTTATAGGTACCTATATATTGTATATAGGTGCCTACATTAATTGTACATATGTATTTAAATAGCAAGACAATTCCATCATTATGGAGGCTAAGCAAATGTTAAATTTAATATAATAATTTATTTAAATTTACAATGAGATATTAATGTTAATGGGCTTTTCAATATCTATCATCTGGATTAATCTTTACATTCTATAAGAGGCGTAGTCCTAACTGATTGACTGAGTATCAACATATGTACAGAATAAACCATAATGGGTAGACTTTGAATCTTGATAGTAGCCATTGCTCATTAGCCAATAACTAATAAGCAAAGCTGGGCATTAACTACCTAGTTAAAAAGTTAAAGTTAATTTAATTTAAACTTAATAACTTAACTAGTTACTTTTAACTTTTCATTAACTTAACTGTTAACTTACTAAATTTCTTTTTTAATTAACGTGAAATTAACGAATTAATTTTTCATTTTAAGAAGTAAGTTAAGTTAATTTATTTTGTTTTTAATTTTAATATAATTCACTGTTTCAGTATATTTTTTTCATATCAAAAAATATTCACAGTGAATTGTTTTAAGTTAAAAATGTATATCATTTGAATCTAACTTATATAGAAATATACTCTATAAAGTATATACACTATAGTCTATAACTAATTTTGGGTTAGAAAAAAATTAAGCACGCTAGCGTTCTATAAACACATTACCTTTTTTTAACTTCATGAAAAGTTAACAAAAAGTGTGTATTCACTTTTAACTTAACTGAGTTAAAAAAAATCATTAACTTGCCCAGCCTTGCCAATAAATACCTTTGTTTCATAATAATCTAGGTCAAAATATCCAATTTTAAAAATGTAGAAAAACATTTTTATAAATAGAATGTTAAAATGTAAATGAATACAATATAATACTAAATTTTTAATGAAAATTAGCTCAAATTTTTGCTAATAAAATTAGCTGAAATATTAATTTATACAATTTCAAGCATAGAAAACATTTTTAGAAAATATAAATATATAGGTACACAGATTTTGTGAGTTGATTTTCTTCTTGTAGGTACCTAGTACATAAAGTGAACTAGAAGCTTTTAGCTCATGGCAATAAAAAACAAGAAAAGGATGTTGTTTACAAAATAGATAATGATGAAATTATTAAAATACTCAAGTCTAAAAGCACACAGTGTTAGGTTAGGGCAAAGCTGGGCACTAACTAGTTAGAAAGTTAAAGTTAAGTTAGTTTTAATTCATATTAACTTTGTAACTTAACTTATTGGATTTAATGTGTAAAATAGTCTAATCTAACTCGTTAGAAAGAAAACTAACTAGTTATTATTATTATTACTTTTTTTTTTCATTCCAAAATTCCAAAAGCTGTTCCTCAATCAGGACATTATGGCTTTATGTCATATGCCTATATATGCCTATATAGATTATTGGATCATAATATATATTATTAATTATTAGTATTTATAATAATGCACGCACAGGAACCATAGTTTTTCCGCGTAGTCTGTGTAATGTTCATAACTACTAGATATAAATAGCAGTGTTATAATGTATTTGAGTAAAAGTATTCAAATACATTTTTCCGTATTGAATACTTTTTTAAATACTTTTTATTTTGAAGTATTTGAACATTAGTTTTTGAATATTTGTTTTTAAGTTTTTTTAGTATTGAATACTTTTTTTTATTCTTTTAATTCTTAATTTGTTTCTACTTATAATTATTCTTGTTAAATAAAAATACCATGCCGTCGTGGTTTTGCTTTAACATTATAACAATATAATATTACATATTTATTATTTGTGCCTTACAGACAATTTGGTAGCGGTTTTCTTCGATTAAATGTTTTTTCTCCAGGAGACAGTTTATGGTCGACGAATATCGAAAAGATACATCTATAGTCGGTATCACTATTAGCTTAAAACAATAACAAAATATATATTATGTAAAAAGCTTCTGCTTAACGGATATTATAATTTATAGTTTATACTTTATAATCATTTAATCAGACCAAAATATTATTACTAATTATTAGTACCTACTACTTATTTACCAAGAAAATTGTTATTAATAATTATCATTAGGTATCGTTTATCATCGATGACGATCAATGATGGTATGAGATATCCAAATACATTTTATAGCTTTGAATTAATATATTATATCTCTATAGTGGAAAGTTCATTGTTGTGGTACAACTAACATGACTGATCTAAATTTTGATTATTGAACGAATTATGTTTGAAAATGTAATAAACAAATTATTTCAGAACTAAAAAGAAAAAGAATTTTTTTTTTTTTGTATTTGAAGTTTATTTCAAGTATGTATAATAATTGAGTATTACTCAAATACTTAACTATTTATAGTATTTGGGTGGTATTTTAAATACTTTATTTTAAGAATATTAGAGTAATAATTACTTAAATACTTTTAAAAACTATTTTTTACAACACTCATAAATAGACAATAGTATCTATACGGGTGGCTTCACCAATTAGTGTTAATATTCAAACTCTTCTCCTAAACTACCATTAACAACATTGTCTGAAGAAATACAAAAATTGTATATGAAGTATAATACAAGTATTCCCTCTAGTGCTCACGTCGAGAGACTTTTTAGTGCAGGAGGCCAATTATTCGATGAAAGGCGTGGGTCTATGTCTGATGATAACTTTTAAATGTCACTATTGTTAAAAATTAACAAATATTTTGAATAAAATATAGGTAAGTACTAGAATATATTCATATAGATTATATTATGTATTATTATTTAATATTAATATTTTAAGTTGTCATACTGTTATATATATTTTTATTTTGTTTCACCCTTTATGTTCTAAATTTCTAATAACTGATCAGTGGTATACCAATTAATTTCCAATTAATTGAAATTATTACTTACCTAATTAGAACATCTTGATCAAATTACTAAGTTTTTAATTCAATTTTTTAGTTTTAATCAATAATTTAAGTTAGATAACTTATTATTTACATTTCAACAAAAAGGTTTTATAATCTTTAAAGAAAAACCAACTGCTAACTTCTACTCTAACTTAAGTAAGTTTACTTCTAACTACCTACTAAGTTGGAAATTTGGACGGTTTCAGAAACTAACTTATATTCTAACTTAGTTAGTTTTTTTATTAAAGTAACTTACTTAAACTACATAGTTGAAAAAAATGACTAACTTGCCCAGCTTTGAGCACACTATTATTGAATGAGATTTCTAATTAAATATAATAATATTGTGAATTTGTAACATTAATAGGTAATTCAAATTATTCACTTA